GTTCAAATATGGTCCCCACACCTAGTGAAAGACATCCAACTTTTAGAGAGAACTCAACGTCTTGCCACCCGAATGGTACCCTCACTCAGGCACTTATCTTACGAAGATAGATTAACCCGATTGAAGATTCCATTTCTCAAAGAAAGACGAGCCAGAGGAGATGCTATTCTGACATACCGCATACTGCACGATACATTCTCCATTGACATGCAGCATATTTTTGAGCTGAACACTGACCCCAGGCTGAGAGGCCATAGCATGAAGCTCAAACGCGAAAACTTCAAGTCCACCGTTAGGCAAAACTTTTTCGCCAACAGAGTATTCGGGCTATGGAATTCACTCCCAGAGGCCGTTGTGACAGCTCCAAGCATAAACAGTTTCAAAAATGGTTTCTACGCGTTCCAGGGTTCCAGCTTCTGACTGTACCAACTGTGCTGATGTTCCTCATTGTCTATATTAACAATTTCGATTCTTATGTTCATACGATACCACTCACTTGTATTGTTAGGTTAATTTTTGTATACTCATGGGCATAATAGGCTTTGCCTCTGCCCTTTTTGTCAGTTAATAATAATAATAATAAGATCGAAGGGATCTGTATTTCGATAGTTATCAATAAACTCGTATTAAATATGAAAATCAGAACAGAATACAGTAGTGTTGGTTGATTTTCAGGATTGTTCAGAGGAGCGATAGGTTTGAGTGGTTCTGCTCTCAATACTTGGGCTCACGATCCAAATGCCGTGAATAAAACGTATGGGATTGCAGCAGAAATCGATCCTAGTTTCAGCAGGAACCGTACAACACAAGAGTTGATGGACTTTTTGCAGAGTGTTGATGGTAAACTTATCCACGCTACCGGTACCAATTCTAAATATTCTGTGAGTGAATTAAAACACATATATCGGGTGTAACAGGACCATGCTACACCAAACCATTTGGATGAACTTAATTTGGTGATAAATCAAGAAATTTTACAGGATTCCATTTTTTCAGCACACTCAGATGGAATATCGAAAATGAAATATAGATACATATTGAAGTTTGAAAGGTTTCCCATGTGGTAGATATATACCTACAGGTTATTAAAAGTTATTACTACTTCGGGTGAGACGGGAAGTAAATAAAAACGTATTCATGTCAGAACATTACATTTTACAAGCTGTTGGAACATTCCGAATTTCAATCATTTATCTCTAAAACTAAAGGAGAAAAAGCGGGTGTACCATGATCATGTTACACCTAGTATAGGTACAGGGTGATACAGAGTATCGAACTATCACCCATGTAACTTCTGCATTCGTCAACGGATTTTTATGAAATTGGGTACAGATATGTGAGCAACCATTCCGGATTTGATTATATTAGAATCCAATTCGGTTTTTCTGGAAATGCCAGCAATTCCGTTTTTTTTTCAAATGGAACACCCTGTTCATTTCTACATATTCAAATTCAACGAGTCAAAACAAAAGCAATATTTAGGACAAGATTCAGAAATGTTGTTTTCCACAGCGTTTTCGAAAAATTATTCGAACTGCAAAGAAATTCATTAGACTAGTTATTGATTGTTGAATGTATACAATTTGTTACTGCACTGAAATACAAAAATTATGTTTTTGATCCTGACTTGTAGGTGGCCTATAGGGGTTCCATTTAAGAAATTGATTTTTGGATCAAAATGTGATGTGACTGAAATGATTCATCGATAAATGACACAAAACATAGTTTGAAAAAAATAGGTTCCTTCAGTATACAGTGTGTCCCAAATTCGATCCTCACCATAGGGATCTCAGTAACTATGAAAGATAGAGAAACGGTTAAATTGGCAAAGTTGTAGCAAATTTAATGTTGAATCAGAATCTATTGAGAAACCCGGGCTAGCTTCAGTCATTCTTGAGTTATTTGAGAGAAACTGAAATCTTGTATTTTTATTTTGTTCGAATATCTCGGAAACTATTGATTTTATGAGGAAATAATTTCAACATTTTCATAGCACTTTTTGGTGTTCTTTTCAATGGTTTTTTCAGTTTTCCATCAAAATGTCAAATTTGTGAGATATCACCTACAACTTCATTTTTTTTATGGACGCCATATTAAATTTTAACAGATTTGAAATCAACATAACATTTTCTTTCTATTGATGTATCACAATCATAGTTTTATTTAATTTGGGGTACTGATTTCCAATTGTTGTTTGTATGTCCAGTAGGCTATGAATTCTGTAACTAATGAATAATACTCGAAGTTATCTCCACCACAATTCATTATATTGTGTTATTAGTTACTACTTCACTCTACTGACTTTTACCTTAGATTATGGAATATGTGTTCTATGTTCTTGCATTACTTAACAGGTGGATAATACAAATACTAAACAAAATTAATTGAACTGCTCGAAATGGCCCCCATTGTTCTCGATACATTTTAATATTCGCGAGCGAACATGATTCGCTGCTTTCCTCAGATGAACTCTGTTGATGTGCTGGAATGTGTCCATCATTCTCTCGTAGATCATCAATATCTTGAATTGGCTCTTCATAAATTTCATTTTTGACGTAGCCCCACAGGTAGAAATCGAGAGGCGTACAATCAGGCGACCTTGGAGGCCATCTATCAGGTCCATGAGTAGTAATTAATTTAGCACCAAATTGATTTTCGAGATATCGATATCGATTCTTTCACACTGGTTGACGAACCAGTGACAAAACTCGAGACGACGTTCATTATCACCAGGTCTTAACCCTTGTACTGTCACTGGTTTTTGTGAACGGCATTGTTTGCCCCGAAATAATTAACTTGTATTTTCTCTTGACGTTTCCCGAAAAGGCACTTGGCTCCAAGCCTACTCTATGAAAGTTGTGCCAGAACACATAATCGTTATTGTTTATAGAGAGTTCAGCGCATAGCCTACTGGACATAAAAACAAAAATTGGAAATCAGTACTCCTTATGCGATAAAACTGTGACTGTGATACATCATTAGAAAGGAAATTTCATGCTGATTTCAAATCTGTGAAAATCCAATATGGCGTCCATGAGAAAAACCGAAGTTGTAGGTGATATCTCAGAAATTTGACATTATGATGGAAAACTGACAAAACCATTCAAAAGAACACCAAAAAGTGCCATGAGAATTATGGAGTCATTTTTTCATTAAATCAATCAATCAGAAAAACAAAAATACAAGATTTCATTTTTTCCTCAAATAACTCAAGACTGACTGAAGCTAGCCTGGATTTCTTGATAGATTCTGAATCAACATTGAATTTTCTACAACTTTGCTGATTTGAGCGTTCCTCTATCTCTCATATATCGAAGACTGGAACCTTTGGCACGATAATACACTACACTGTTTTACCACTAACCAAACCGATTTTTTAACGCCTCAACACGTATTTTGCTAACTATGTTAGCATCTTCAGGAGAAGATTAAAACTGAATATCCTATTCTAGTGTGCTGCTTATATGTTCACCCAACTGTGAAAAATACGTCAAGTTAATGTTTGTCATGGTTGAGTTCACATGTTAATCTCAATTTTTATTTCACTAAACTATATAGAGGGCTATATGGAATAGGTCCATTATCCTTATTCATTACTCTATTACTATTCTTAAATATCTCTAAGCTTTCATATGCGTCTAGTTTTCTAATGTTATTAACTTGCTTAACTAATTTGAGGTTAGTAATATGTGTATTATGATTGTGATTGAACATATGTTCGGCTACACAAGATTTATCTAACCTGCCATACTTTAAATGGGCTATGTGTTCTTTGAACCTTGTTTTTATGGGTCGCCTGATTTGACCTATATATCTATCTATCTCTCATAGTTACTGAGATCCCATTGGTGAGGATCGAATTTGGGACACACTATACAGAGAAGGGCACAAAAAACGGCCAGGACTGTAACTTTTGAATTATTCGAGATAGGGTTTTGAAAATTAGTGGGCAGCTAGTATACCAAATTGCTCAATAATTGACGAAACAATTATTGTTCTATCACTTCCGGTTTCACAGGAAACGACCCCAATTTTTGATTTTTTAATTGTATTCCATAATCGGTTAGGGATTGTCATAACGAATTCATCGATACCGGGTTAAATAGGGTTATTTGAAACGATTACGCAGATATTCGCGTTCTAAGTTCATCATGGCCAATGAGCGGGACAGAGAAAAAAGATTTGATATTGCGAAGTCACATGCACCCATTGAGCATATGGAAGCTTCGAACGCAAATATCTTTGTAATTGTAATTACCCTATCAAACCCAATATTATTGAACTCGTCATGATAATCTCTAACCAATTATGGAATACAATACAGGGTGACCCTTTGAAAAATCAAAAGTTGGGGTCGTTTCCGGTGAAACTGGAACTGGTAGAAGAGAAATTGTTTCATCAATTAATGAGCAATTTAGTATACTTGCTACCCACCGATTTTCAAGAAGAATCCAGAAGTTACAATCCTGGCCGTTTTTTGTGCCCTTCAACATTTTTGAAAAAACTACACTTGACATAAAAATAAAGGTTGTTCCATTTGAAAAAACAACGTTGCTGGCATTTCCTGAAAAACCGGAAGTCCGCCATATTGGATTTTGATATTGATTGAACCTGAAATGGTTGATAACTCTACCAAATTTCAGAAAAATCCGATCACGATTACAGAAGTTGCAAGGGTGGATTGACACCCTGTGTCTCACGGTATAGTTATCAGAATCTTAATAGTCAGTTTGTTCGTAGTCATTTGCTCCTGTCATCGAAGTAGAACACGATGGAGCAATGATAACCGAGTCTATGTATATGTCAGTAAAAGAAGGAAGGATCAACAGAGTTCCTTATTTGGCTGGTATATGTTCGGAAGAGGCAATATTAATGGCAGCAAAAGGTGATGTTTTTTCTCTATTCAATTTATTTTTCGAACCAATCAATTTACCTCAATTTTCTACATGAAAATTATTCTAAAAGTACCAAAACCATCCCCTGACGATGTACATTTATAGAAGAAAGTTGGGAGAAAACTGCCTCTGCTTACGACAAGGATTTGCGAAAATTGGTAGACCCTGATATGTACATCACAGATGCCACTATTCTGGAGAAAACATCTGCCGAAATAAAAGCAATATATACCAATGATACTCTTCGACAAGATATTGGTGCCTTCACACAGGTAGAATTAATTTACTATCTAAACCCACTTACTTGATCATTCCTCCATTTCAGTATTTTGGTGATAATAGATACATGAGAGCTCCAATCAAGTATGCTAAACTACATTCCCAGTACGCCGATGTGTACTTCTATCAGTTTTCATATCATGGAATAATGGGTAACAACAACTTTACTATTGACGGTAAGTCTTCAAATATATAGAGAAATGATCATGAAGCTGAAACTGTTTGGTTTCTAGTTGAACCTAATTGAAACTCTTTCAGGTATTGGAAGAGTGGGCCATGCTGAAGACCTGCGCTATTTATGGTCCAATTATAAGAGTTATGAATCATTTCCAGAATCAGACATGAGAACTCTTGATCGCTATGTTGGATTGCTGACGAACTTTGCGAAATTTTTGTAAGCCTGACATATTCCAGACTGGTGCGATTTCCACTGTTTTGATATTTTCAGGAACCCTACTCCTGAAAATTCGGAACTGTTTGGTAACAATATATGGCCAAAAGTTACCAGTGAACACTATCGATACTTGGACATCGATCGAAACATAACCATTCAAGAAAACCCACGAAAATTTTCGTATGGAAAGTGGGAGGATATTTTTGAAAAATATGCTACGAAGCCATTGATATCTTTCTGAATATTTCAATGAAACCAATTATTATAGAAATATGTTGGATGTTCAGGTACATCATCAACACTTGTGGAGTCAATTTGAAATAAAACTGATGGAACCAGCAGCATAATTTCAAATAAATAACTTCAACTATTATCACTCATTCTCATTTGAGATATCACAAAAATGTTCAGGTTTATCTAGCACCTCAATAGATACTCTACTGAAGAAAATGATGATTTCATTAATATTATCAACTACTTAGGTATTGAAAATGAATATTCTCAGATGAATTATGAACAAAAAAAAATTAGAAATGGATATACATATAAATAAATAAATTGAGTATTCGCATTCTCTATGTGATGAAAATATAATTTCATTATCGGTTTTTTCAACAAAAACCAACTACTTTCCTGGCTATATGCCATGACATGACGAACATTGATTTATATCGTTGATTGATATATTACGCTTACCCAGCGAACTAAACCTATAACGGAACTGACATCTGACAATTATTGTTGACATTCAATACCTTTCATTTGATTTTTGTTTCTGGATGTATAACAAATTGAGATTCATCATACAGGACGTGGAAAGAAATTCTAATCACGAGGTATGTTTTCATAATCCAATTCAGAGAAATGAAATTATTTGTCTCCTATGGTGTATTGTATGCATAAAGGGTGAAAGCACTTTTCTATAGTCCTCACAAATTTCAGGATATGTGGTGGTTCTAGTTGGGTAGTTTCTCCTTCTCCTATTATGTGTGCTTCCAGGTTTTTTGCTCTTGGATTCTGTAAGGTGACAGATTTCGTAAGTAACTGGATAAAGTTTTCCTCCTCTTCCTCACATAACCTACATTCATCTTCCTCTTTCAAGCCGAGCATCCTAATATGTCATTTCAACCGGCAGTGCCGTGTTTAGACTTCTGTTAGTATACGAAGTAAATCTTTGCTCATGGTTACGTGATTCTGTAGGAAAATAAATCAAATATTCTCAACTCTGGAGGAGATAAATACGCTGAAGTGCTATAATCGACTATTGATGTATGCACAATTCCAAGGAATGGAATGAACTGTCTCCTAACCACTGGTCTATGAAGTGAGACACGGTTCGGCAATCAATTTCTCAGCTAAGGCAGTGGAGTCGTTACATCATCCAAAAGAAGAGATACAGTCAGCATCTAGCGACCTTGGTTCGTGTTACACTTACAAGATCCATTTCAGGAGGAGTTCCCCAGGCAGGTTATATCAGAGGCGGATGGAGATCATCTTGAAGGGGTAATTTATTCATTGGCCCCACGAAATTGATTGTTCCTCGATATTCATTGAATTGATTCATTCGATATCACTAAAATATATTATAATTTATTGAAGAATCCATCAAAACTATACTTTATTCCAAGCAAAAATTTACGGGGACTTGTTTCGAAGCTTCAAAGCTTCATCTTCAGCGTTTGGGGACATATAGGAGCACTAAATTAAGAGAAAAAGAATGGATGTTTCAAGACGATAAAATAGTATATATGCTTCCAGTAGTATATTATGTAAGAAGTATTATAAACGTCATTTGAGTAACGGTTTATTAAGCACGAGCGGAGCGAGAATGAAGAGAACTATGAATTCATCATTCCATCAAGATGAATCCATCTATCTAAACCTTCAAATCAAGAATCAAAAACTTCTTATCCGATAGGTCATAAATGTCATCACGTATAAATAGTGCTCTAGATGTTTATATATTATATAGTTATGTACAGGGTGATTCACCATAAATGTCCCCCCATCTAGCTCAGTTATTTTTAAACCGATTTCAAAATTTGAAATATCATCTCGAATGATTTTCGATAAAGTTTTTTCCGCTACATCAGAGAATACATCAGGGTGCTCGGAACAAACGATTTACAGGGTACTATTTGATTTTTTTACATGGAACACCCCATTTTTCATTATATTTTTAGATTCTCCCTGAGGAGCTGATTTGATCAATGCATCACACTTGGAGTCTAGTAGGAATGATTACAGAGATATAGGGTGTTCAAAATCGAGATTTTTCAACTATAGGATTTTTTTGAGACGAAACTATTCATCATCGGTCAAAACAGCTCATGTCCATATCTTAACTTTTGATTTACTATTTACTGACATTTAATGATTGGAACAGATACAGGGTGATCAGAATTCTGAATCTTGAACCACCCTGTAAATGTTCCAATTAAATGTCAGTAGACAGTAAATCAAAAGTTGAGATGGAAACATTAAAGCCGTTTCGACCAATAATGAATAGTTTCGAGACAAAAAAATCCTAAACTTGAAGAATCTCGATGTTGAACACCCTATATATCTCTGTAATCATTCCCGCTAGACTCCAAGTGTGATACATCGATGGAATCAGCTCTTCAGGAATAATCTAAAAATACAATGAAATACAGAGTGTTTCATTTGAAAAAATCAAGTAGTACTCTGTAGATCATTTGTTCCGAGCACCCTGTATATTTTCTGATGCAACGGGAAAAAAAATTCGGAAAAAATCATTTTAGATTATCTTTCAAATTTCCAAATCGGTTCAAAAATAAGTGAGCTAGAGGGGGGGACATTTATGGTGAATCACCCTGTATTTATATCCATGTTTGTAATTCATTTCTCTATTATTTTTATTGTGAACTTTGTACATCGTTTTAAAAATATTTTTGTAAATTAGGATTTCCTATTTGAAATAAAGATTAATCCCTCCTAATCCCTCCATTCTCTCCACATTTCTCTAGAAAGGAAAATTTGTGATTCCTGCTACTGCCTCTGCCATTGCAGTATATATATGAGTAATATCCTCATCATTGACATATGAAAGGAGTATAGTGAGAGTAATTTCGCAACGCGCCGTTGTTTCTGGAATAGGTGATGGTGAATGATGCGTTTATAGTTTATTATATCATGGTATAGACGCGAGAATTATGGAACAGGATACTGTCACCTCGTGACGAAATAGGCAATCTATTATACGCTCTATTTATTGGTAGTTGGAGATGATCACACTCTGATTCATTGTCAGATCTATCTATGTATACTGCCATGTCGGTTCTTCATTCATAATGACGTCAGTTTCCATATAATATATGTGTCTTCATTTCAACAGAGAACCGCGCACATTTTGTAATAAAAATGGACTTTATACCTACCTAAATGGTAATTTCAATAGGCAGTTTTCCACCATATAAAGGAGACATCTATTTTTATCATATAATCAAGCAGTTGTTGGATAATGGTTTCAATGAACTTCGATTTTTTCCATATGATTCCAGGAACGAGGTGAAAATATCTATAGAAATGCACAGGTACATATTGCATCAGTTTCCCTATCTTGCAGGATAGATTCCTATGACTTCCAGTTGATGTGAAAGGAAAATCAACAGTTTTTCCTTCAGCTGACCTATCAAAATATAGAAGACAACATCTTCGAATAAATTACTTCGAAATTTCACCTAAGGTAATCAATTCATCACTCGAAATCAACTGCTGAATTGGTGGAAATCACAAAAAAAGATTTACTATAGCTGGGCATAGTATCAAATACTCCCTCTGTGGTGTTTTTCTGAATATATTCTTGGTAAATTTTAACACGATCTTGTGGTGATTGTTTTCAACTTTTCGCATTAAGTCTCTCCACGATGCCTAACAACAGATGATTAGGTTGTTTCAACGCATTCATAAAGTATATTTTACTATTCTTGACGTTTTTCGTGCGAAGATATATAGCGATTCCAGTCGTTTGTACCATTTTTTTTTCTGCTTGTATCAGTTAGTGGAACTCAATCAACCCTTATTCCAAAACTACTCTAGTAGCCTTCACGCAGAAAAGGAAAACTGATCTCACAACCATCAGAATGGCTAGGATAGATAATAATAATAATAATATATGTTTATTAATACAAAAATTCCTAATATAAGAGTGACGAAGTATATGAGTAGTATAAGTAGTAATTTCGATCATTTTGATCTATATTGTATTAAATAAACAATCAAACCCATAAAACCTCAGCAGGTTGTCATGGGATGTATGAAAAAAAAAGAGTCTACTAGCATATGCCCTGAGCCATAATTATACATTTCTATGATACTAGCTACAATGTCAATGTCTAGCTCCAGTAAGTATACTTTAAATTTTTTCTTGATATATTCGATTGAATTGATTTCAAGAATATACATTTTATAAGTTTCTGGTAAATAGTTGAAAATCCTATTAGCTAAGTATTGAAAATTTTGCTGACCTATGGACTTTTCGGCTGCATTTGTTGTCACATAGTGTTTCGATTTTGTTCTAGTTAGATAGGGATGATTGATTCTCTGTAATGTATATTTGTTTTTATACAAATGAATGATCATACTGAACATGTATAATTTTCTCAAATTCATTATTTTTGCATCAGTGAATGTACATTTTGAGGAGTAGGTCATTGGTTTTCCAAGCATTACTTTTAGAATTTTCTTCTGTAGATGAAATGAAACAATAGATGGAATACTACTATATGTTCTCATTCATATAGTTCCTTTATTGCTTCCCTATCAAGGTATGTAATTGAATGTGTATAAATACATGCAACCTTATTCCTCTCATCTCAGCCAACAAAAGTTAAATTTTTCATGTTGTATTCGTGAAATAAATGAAAAAAGTATAATAACATATCCATCCTGTATAAATATGAGTACAAGTATACGCCCACCGAATATCTAAAGCAGACTCATGATATTAATAAGATAGACACTTCAATTTTTTTTAATTTTGCCTCCCACCTACTTGGAGAGTAAACCCACTAATTGCTGCATTGAAGATGTATGCGATGATCTAAGGTGTGAGGCAACATACACTTGAACGGTATCAAGTACCGCACAAAAATGCCATCTAATTAATGATCCACCTTGGTACTAATGGATATTGCGTGTAAATTATGTTCATCTAGATCGGTTATTGTTGTTGAAATGTAGTTTAAACGAATAGATGATTAATGATTGTACCACGCCAACCATGAGAATTCAATAGGTACCTACTTACTTCTGGACTTTGATTTGAAGATGGATAACGATCATGAAAGACGATAAGTATATCTTGTTTGACTGTTCATGATCATCATGATATACATATACATTGGCGTAGACAACTCGGGTTGAATAAGGATTAATTTTTTGAAACATTTTGTTCAGGAAGTTCACG